GTTGATCTGCTTGAGTTTTCTTTGAATCCTGAAGTTCATAATTAACTTACTTAGAGCTGGTACAGATTGGATTTATGGTTCAGGGTTGAACTATTATATCATGTGGTTGTCATGATTAGAGCAACACTTTGAGATTGACTTGTTTGAGTTGTTGGATTGACTGCTATATTGCTTTGTGGTCTGCTGCATAAACCATTTGAACATATTTGAAGAATTTTTGCTTGTTCACACTATTTATGATGTTTAAGGTTTGTCAATTCTTCTTGAACACATCAGTTTTGTGTTTGGACCCTTATAAGTAATAGCAAGTTCCCTGCACCATTTGTAAACTTCAAACAGCCTGTAGCAAGAGGAGCATATCTTGATTCAGTAAGGGATTGGGATATCTTTGTGAACATAGCCCATGAGCAATTGATTTAAGACATGTGCATACTCTTAAACTGGTGCCAGCTTGACTGAGTTGGGTTTTAACATTCAAAACGCATTTCAAAAACTCATATGCATATGCAATCGAATTTTAAAATAGAAATTCAATTTCTCAAAAATAACACTACCACTGAATTCCTCATTGAAAAATACTCAAGATTGATTAAGGTTTCACTAAATTCCATGGAGTTTTGGTTTGGTTTCAATCTTTCACGCCCCTTGCTTTTTGGTTATGTTTGTTGCCCAGAAATCAACCAATTTAGGCTATGTATGTTTTTTGTTTCCATCCAATTAATGGATGTAACAGCCACCCCAGTGGCAGACCATTGTGCGCCTTATGACCTTCTACCAGCATGACCAGGGTTCGATCCGGGTGGAGGTCGAACCCTTTTGTTTTATTTTTTCCAATTTTCATTATTAACTATTTTCTTCATTCTTTCTATCTCCTTACGCACGCGCGTGTGCGCCCCAGTGGTAAAGTTTGTGTGTTTGTAAACACTAGGGCCTGGGTTCAACTCCCAGCTTGGCCCTTTCTCCATTTTGATTATTTTGTTTATGTGATTTTATTATCATAATATCACTTCAATTTCAAATGACCATAGTTTATTCATTTTTTATCTGTTTCAACTCGTTCTTTTTGCAAACTTTTCGTTATGATGTCTAGTTTATTTTAGCAAATTGTAATATCGTAATTTGTTTGTTTTTTACAAATGCTTTGATCTTGCTTGTTAGTAGATCCGTTTGTAAGTTACTACCACGTGTTTCAATTTGAAGTTTCCTCATACCATGTTCACTTTTATCTTGTGAGATTTATTTTCCTTTATGTTGTTAGTATATTAGGATGTCACTCTTTCATTGGTTGTTACCATGTGTTCTCCCTCAGCTTCGCTTTGTTAAGTTTATCTCGCACCTCCTAAATTACAAGGCTAAACTAATTTAACTGTGTGAGATTGTTATCTAGGCATAGTTGTTACTTTCAAATTGTCATTTGTTTATATGGTTGTTACCTTCATCATACTTTCAATCTTTGCTAAAACATGCCTTCATCGTTGTTAAGATATGCCATTTGTAGCACTGCTTGTATTTCTTGGTTGAAACCATTCATCTCACTTGAATTACTTGCTCATTATAATGTGCTTGCCCATCTTTGATTGTAATCCTTGTCTTCTATATTCCTCATACTTGAATATGATTTGTTAAGTATTTATTCCCCAAGTGATGGAACTCTTTAGTTCGCATCCAAGTTGCCTTCCCTCTCTCCTTCCAAAGGAAAAGTTTCTCCATTGACCTTTGTGTCATGGATAGCTCATTACCTCCTCCCTTGACTTTGTAAAGTCATCTTGAACCTTAGTTAAGATCAAGACCCATAAGCCATTTGACTTTGCTTAAGTCTAAAAGACCCACCTTTACTAGGAGTGCTCCTCAACTAGAACCCTAGGTTAGAGTTTTGTTTAACTCTATATAAGAATCATAGTGATGATTACTTATTCCCCTTTGAGAGTTCAACATAGACATAGAGAGTTTTTGGAAAACTCTACACAAGCATGGATATGTTTGTTCCCCTTTGAACCTTGATCATAATCAAGTGTTCTTCAACCCTAGTGAGGTGAACTACGATTGCTCTGATTCTATCCTAGTTAGGATACGTAGGCAGAGGACGCGATGTCTTTGCGAGCAAACTTAGAAACAATCTTAGGTCTTCATCTATCATAACCTTCACCTTTTTACCGAATACCCAAACCTTAGCGAATATTTAACAAACTTAGCATACAAACAAACAAAAGGTTCCTGTAGAGTACTACAGATGTTTAGGATGTGAAATACCTACCCTATGCATAACCAACCCCCGATCCCCGAATCTCTTAGCGTTGTTGTTACATCGCGCAAAAGGTTCTTTCATTCTTTAGACCTTTCCTTTGGATAAATTAAAGTCCGGTTGTGAATTTAAGAATTAAAGATTCAAGTTAATCAATAGCTTGGTATCACGATTCTCACCGCAACAAAAGGCAGTTATGTGCATCCCGTAACACCCTACGCCGAGTGGTGAGACCAAACAAGCAGCCTAGAGAGGATGTTGAGGTTGTTCATGCTCAAGAGATGCAGGTTCAAGATGATCATGACTCGGTGGTCAAGAAAAAATGAGATACATGTTGATGTTGAGGTGGTTGATGAGGTGGCATATGAGGTGGTAAAGTCAGATGCCCATATTGCTGATGAGGTGGCTACCACAGATCATGTCTCTTTTCTATTGTTGGTATAGAGGTTACGACTCCTGCTTCGACGGAACCATCTGTGCATACTGATGGAGCATTTCTGAGAGGACCCATTAACCGGTCGGTGCTTACCGAGTATGCTGACCATGTGGCATACAGATTATGGTAGGGAGATATATATATATATATTTTATGTTTAACTTTAATTTATTTATTATTGTTCCATGATATGTTTTTCTAAATGATAATTTTTTAAACTTTGTTTGTTACAGGACTGTCCCATGTTGAAGGTGACATCCCACAGGTCAAAGATGAAGAACTTCCCTAAGACTTTGATGTCTGAGCAGGTCAGACAAATTGTACATGATTTTGATCTCCTCGCATTTGTCGACTGCTCACTTTCCATGCTCGACGCTTTACTTCTTATTGCTTTTGTTGAGCGATGGCACAAGAAAACATCTTCCTTTTGATGATGAACATAATTTAATATTTGACAAAGGATTACATAACTTAGACAGGCGATTACATAACTTAAGAAGACAATAATAAATAAGAAAACTTAAACACTACCAGATGATTTTGGACGTTTCATCTTCTTAATTATGTCGCCAATGGATCTTGAAATCTTCGCATCTAACTCGATCGACCCTCCTTGTTAGCCTATGACGAAATGATCTCCACATAACTGTAAGATCTTCATTGGTCTTCAACTAAATAAGGTTGTATTTCACCCTTTCATTAGTATCAATCAAATCTCCATGAAATTCAATATTTCTCACATTTCTATTATCGACATCAGCAACAATTCATTCAACTTGAATGTCAAGCCGGTGAGAGATGTGGTGTCATCCGAAAGTCGAAACTCTAGGGGAGGCGCATCTCCGTTGAAGTACACTTTTGCTTTTATCAAAAATTGAGGAGGAGACATTTTGAGATGTTTTTCTAAAATATGTGACCCCTATTTATACAACTTTGAATTCATTTTAGACCGTATAAAACGGTCGGTACAATCACAGCTGTTCAAAATTGTCCGCAAAATTCTAACCCTTTAAAATCTTATAAAATTAAACTATCAAAATTTTAACTTTGGTTGAAATTTTCAATAAAAAATGTTACTTTTTAAATTATCAATAAAAATGCAAATACTCTGAATTTTTAGAAATTCCCGTATATCGAAAATTCTGAACGTTCTATTGAAAATTTTGGTGGTATCAAAAATTTTGAATTACCTATCAAAAATTTTGTACACAAATTTTATTAAAATTTTTAACCAGTGCACTTGTTAAATTATGAAATTACGTGGTTTCAGGTACAAAAGTGTAAGTTGCAAGTTAAATGCTCTTTTGGTATAGGACATCGGAGTTTCAAATAAACCTAAACAGTCCGAAGTAAAAAGAATGTTCTCAAAAAACTATATCGTGTTAAATCAATGCACACCCTACCATAAACATTTACTATAAGATGTCTCATTTACAAAAAGCATACCTATTTTGTCAAACAGAGTTGAATCACTGAGACAAGAAATAAGAACATTGAAATTTATTTTATAATTTGCCAACTGTATGATTTCCTATGCATCTCTGAATACACTAAATATATATATATAAAGAAGCATCTCCATACAATATTTTCCAAAAAACTGGGGTGAAATTATAAAAAGAGAAGATTAACATGATTTTGAATACACCAAGTATATAAAGAAGCATCTCCATACAATATTTTTCAAAAAATTGGGGTGAAATTAAAAAAAGAGAAGATTAACATGATTTTGAATGCATCCGGAAATGAATGACCAAACACTTTAAGGACAATTTTGGATGATATCTACATATAAGAGTGAAAAGAGCTTTCTCCTAAAAGTTTGGCTTAAAATTGAACAACCAACTCTTACAAGAGTGGTGCACCACATCCATAAATTTTCTATCATTATCTAAAATAGTGCATATAAAGAAATAAATAAAAAATAAATTCATAGATTTATTGATCCAATTAAAAAAAGAAAGAAAAACTTACTGTCCTATTTGATTGTTATTAACCACAAAGTACCCCAAATATACTAGTTGATCAACTTCTGTCTACAAGCCATATAAAAACAGTATAAATAAACTATAAGGTTAAATATGCAAATGGTAAAAACTAAACTTATCAGCAAACCCGATGTACTTATGAAACTAATTAATCAACTACATTTCTTCTGGCCAAGCAGCATGTTAAACAAAGGATTTACAAGAAACCAGACACTGGTGTGTAATTAAATTAACTAAATTAATGTATAGCAGCTAAGTTAAGGCCTAGAAGCAATAATCCATGCTAGTATAGAAGCAGACACAGGATGAGCAAACAATCATTCTCCATATTATCTTAATAGACATCTTCATCTGCAATAAATAAAGAATATATGTATTACTCAGTATAACATGCTATAGTCGAAATTATCATTGTGGTGACAAGATGAATGAAAGCTGCATTGCAACAGTAAGTGATTATACCGATCCCAGCCTCTACATCATTAAAATCATCTTCATCGTCATCATAATCTACATTCTGCAAAAATTTAATTTAGTTAGTCCTTTTATCGCAAAAAACAAAAACAATACATAGCAAGTGTATGCTTCGTATCGTAGAATAAATCAAACTACTCCCGCAACAAAAAAGGAGAAATGACTTCAAACGTCAGACTACTATCATCAGCCCCAAACTGTTGACAAATTACGATTCATGCATTACTACCTTTTACACCAACATCAAATTAATCATCTTCTAAAATCCAATTTTACAAACAATTTACATTGAATGCTGAAATAAGTTTATATTACAACATCTGGTGTTAAAGGAAGAATCTGCAATGTATATGTGTAATGTGTAATCCAATTTTACAAATGCCAAGTTTAATATAGTCTACACTCTTAAAGGAAAAAAATTTGACTGAATAACCTATAGGGCAATTTCATTTTACGTGTAAGAATCCCCTATGTAAAGGTATTGTCTTTTATGATTTTAATTTGTTTTTTCTTTTATTAAGGTACTCTCCTAGAAGTAATGAACATGACATTTGGGATGTGTAATGCCCCATTTACTTTTCATGGCACTATGTACATCATGCTTATAGATGAGGAAGTTGACTATTTTCTTATATTCTAAGAACTTCAATTTGAAACTTTTACTGGGCGAGCTTAATAATTGCAACATATTCTTTTCATAATTTCAAGAATGGCAAAATTAACACATCAAAGTAGAGGATAGAATGGAACCTGATTATAATCACCATCATTAAAATCGTCTTCTGACTCTTTTCCCTCTTCATTTTCATCTTCATCTTCACTTTCTTCTTTTTTCTTCTTTTGATCTTTACTCTCTTGCGCCTAAATGTAGAAGTATCGTCAACATATAATTTCACTAGATAAAAATGTAGAAGTATCGTCAACATATAATTTCACTAGATAAAATGTAGGTAACCCAACAATGTAAATCAAACAAGAAAATATGTACTGCTAAAACTAATGTGTTAACCCTGCCTTGTTAACAAGAAAAAATAAAGGAAATAATTGTAGGCATAGGTGCTCTACCAGGAGCTTTTTCTCTAGTTCTTCAAAGAATGCCAATTTTTTCGTATCTGCCACACAAACATCTTAATTAGTATAAAGAAAAAATAAGAAGGCTTCATCATTACTGCTGATATATATATATATATATATATATATATATATATATATATATATATATATATATATATATATATATATATATATATATATATATATATATATATATATATATATATATATATATATATATATATATATATATATATATATATATATATATATATATATATATATATATATATATATATATATATATATATATATATATATATATATATATATATATATATATATATATATATATATATATATATATATATATATATATATATATATATATATATATATATATATATATATATATATATATATATATATATATATATATATAGTGTTAAGAATATTTGTATATAAAATAGTCCCACATCGACTATATTATGTAATTAGGTGTAATCTATTTATATATAATAATGTCTCCGTATTGCTTTTCAAAACACACGGTTTATTCAAATGTCTCTTAGTCTCTTGTATTTCAACAATTACCATAAGTAAACAGAGACCCAGCCCATAACAAGGATAATATCCTATGATAATATAGACTAGACTAAAACGGTGAAATCATAAGAATATAGAATGCTCAATACTTCGTAGAATGGCATGTGTGTGTGTGTGTGAGTGCGACTCTCTTAAGTGATGACATTTTCATAAAGCTCTTTAAATAGGGCAGGATCTTTTTGGGAAGATAAACCAAGTGCTATTAAAATTTGAATAACATACTCATTGACAAAATAAAAAGAAAAGGTTCATATGAAATCACCAGCTTCTGGGTTCCATCGAAATTTTTTCCGACTCGGCATCTGCTTAGATTTACCTGAAATTTACAAATTTCGGACTAAATTATTTGTTAGGCACCTCGAATGCATAAAGAAAAGTAGAAGCATTTTTCTACCCAAAAAAAAAACTGCCTTAAAAGCCCATTCCATTATTCACACCTGGAACCAACTCCTTAACAAATCCGTCGAAATATAAAACCTGAGACAGAGAATCACGCGTAAACGTGGTCTTCTTCTTGTCAGAAAATCTTTCTATGTGCATCCTTTTGCGCCCTGACAATTAAGCAAGAAAAGCTAATATACTGGTTAGGGAAGGGAGGAGCTACATATTTAGGAACAAATATGGTGTCGTGTAAACATTGAAAATATTCTAGATGAAGTATGTCTAGCTTTTGATGGTGTGAACTTGCTCGTATACCAGGAATCATTTCATTCCTTACTCTGCAAGAAGCATAATTAGGTATGATCAAGTCATGCTAGACAAGTAATATTATGGAATCAACCCTTTATTTGAAGGTCCAATGATTAGGTCATCATCATAATAATCCTCCAAAGACATCATCACCAAGTGAGTCCTTTCAAGATACAAAGCTGTCACTAAATTTGTCCCAAGTCATTATCACCATTTTAATTCTAATTTGGTAAGAATTATGTGTGTTTGATGAACTAATTTGGTAGTTAATTCTTTGGATGACTAACATGGTCAAATTTATTTTATGAACTAGTAAAGCAATATCCAAAAAATTTAGAGGACCAAACTGAGGTTTTCTCTATAATTCTGTATTGATTTCAGATTTTGTAATGACAATGTCACAATATGTATCATGTAAAGGCAATTGAATCCGTACCTTTTAATTCTGTGTCATCCAAGAGATAAGGAGCCGCTTTAAAATAACTATCAAAACTTAAATCCCATTTAATCAACTGTTTCATACTAGCATCATTTTCGCCGTGTTTAACATCAGGCAAATTAATATCCTGTAACATCAGATTGATAAAGACAAACATTAAGCTTAAGCAGCAAACAGTTAATTACGAAGTGTGAATATAAATACATACTCGAAAAAGAAACTTAGAAACAATCAATTCTCTTGCTTGCTTTCTGATGTATAGAAATAGTTATGAGGTCTTAACCATTTATAATGTAATGCCTTATTTTTTAAATGTCAGCAAAATAATGTTGACTATTATTAGACTACGCTTAGTCCAAGTTAGGGAAATATCATTCAATCACAAGATTATACCAGCCATTTCGTATGTATTTGTTTTCAGATCAACAATTGGATCCAACACGGCCTTTAACGGCTTAACAAGAGACTTGGTTGCAGAGAATAGAGAATGTAAGGAGTTATAGTATGAATGGAAGGATATAAGACCTATTTGGATTTACTTATTTGAGCTTATCTACTTATATAAGCACTTATGAGAGCTTGTGGAAACAACTTACGAGATGCATATACGTTGTTTTCAATTTATTTCTATAAGCTCTTCATGATAGTTTATGAAAACAATTTATATCTTGTGTGAAAACAACGTTTAAGTTATTTGTAAACAATTTGACCTTATTTTATGTTATAGAAATAACTTATACATAAGCAATTATATGATAAATGTTTATACTGGAAGCACTTGATGAAGTTGTTTATCCAAATAGGAGCATAGGATTCGTTTTTGTTAAGAGTCTCTCATCGGATAATATATGGCATGAACATGTCTTTATAAGTGGAGGCAATCCTCGCCTTACCAACCGGTTTTGTAGGGTTGAGTTAGGCCCAACCACATTTCTTAACATGGTATCAGAGCCTAGTTTAAGATCCGGTGGGTCACCTTCTATGATTTCCGCTATCGGGTCACCCACCATTTATTTTCACGCTTCAGTTGTCTAGTCCTAAGCGTGAGCGGGGTGTTAAGAGTCCCACATCGGATAATATATGGCATAAACATGTCTTTATAAATGGGGCAATCCTCACTTTACCAACCGGTTTTGTAGGATTGAGTTAGGCCCAACCACATTTCTTTAACAGTTTTAATTGAATTCTTTGAGCTAATCTACTTGTGTAAACACTTATGAAACTAATTGTGATAGATTATTATGAAAAAAATTTATGGCATTTCTGTAAGTTGTTATCAGCTAATTTCCATAAGCTATGCAAGAAAGCTTATGAAAACAATTTATACCTTACAGGAGAAACTATTAATTTAGTCCATAAACATTAAGTATCAATCTCTCCAATTTAGTCCATAACCTTTATAAAAATAAGTAGTCCCTAAAGCATATGAAATCCATCACCCCTTTTTTTGTAAAATATGAAATATATGAAAGTCTGTCTAGTTGCAAATATCTTAAACAGAGGTTAGTAAAGTGATGGTTTTTATATACTTCAGGAATTACCGATAATATTTATATACTTTAAAGACTAAATTAGAGAGAAACTGATACTTTAGAGATTAAATGGATGGTTTATTCTACCTTATATGAAAAATAATGTATGCATAAGCACTTATATGACAGATGCTTATGTTATGACTCTCATGAGCAGTTAATTCAGTGGTTTACTATGTTGTTTATACAAAAAAAAAAAATACTAAATATATTACCTCGGGATAAAGTACAAATGGCTCTGGTCGTGAATATTGTTGATATCCGCCCCGTCCCCCTCCTCGTCCCCCTCCTCGTCCATATCCTCTGCCAGCCATTTAAGCTGAAATTCCAACTTCAATTGCAATAATGTCTACAAAAGAAGGAAAATAGAGAAAGGATTAAGCAAATTGTCCAAGGCTCTTCTCTAATGAGCATTTATGTTATCACACTTGCAAATATGTTTTGCTCTAGACTTATGACTTTTATTTCTAAATATGAATACTTCATGAATTTTGATGAATTTATTTTAGTTTTTGACAGGCTTTATTAATATTAACTATATTAGTATTTGTGTCACTTAAATATCGGCCATTCTGCTTCCCGCTCCTGTTTTGTTCCATTTCTAGAAATGGTCGTGTCGTGCTGCTATTTGAGATTGATAACATAGATTAATTGTACCCACATTTGCAACAATTGGGTCAACATTTTTATCTTTGGAAACTCACTCTAATGCCATTGCATGTCGTAAACATCTTGTGAAGTTTTAATCCAATCCATTCTGTCGAACAGTGTTTGCAGTTTCCTAAGAAAATAATGTCTCCATCTCTGGTTATGCAGCCACATTACAATTCTATTTCTAAATTTCCATTACAGATAAAAGCAGCCTAATACTCCCTTCATCTCGTACAAATTGTCACATCAACATCAACAGAAAACATTGTCCTAAAATAAGTATCATTCTATGTTTTCAATCTAAAATGAATTGCTTTATTTCAATTCTACCTCCAAATTAAATACTATATGTAACACTATCAAGTCCATTGTAGTCAACAATGTATTTATGACAATGGTTAACACTGAAAGGATGATTTTATAAAATTGCTACAGTATTTCATCTATAAAATGGACTTGATAGTGTTACATATACCGAGTTTAACCAGTGTCGGATTCTGACACGGACAAGACTCTAACACTCGTGATTACATTCAGTCACTTCTATTTAAAAATTGAAGGAACTCAAATATAATCCAATCTACTAAACAATTAACAGTTATATCATCCAAACAAACAAACCCAAAAACTTGCTAGCTTGTAAACCCTTAAAATGATAGCAAAACCTTGATGAAGAATATAAAAAACACAAACCAGAATAAAATGAAATTCATACACAAAATAATAATACAGTACCAACCGCGAAAATGATGTACATCGTTACCTTAGAAAGAGGAAACCGAAATTGACAATGCAATGACGGCGAAGAGCAAGGAAACGGTGAAGTTGTTGAAGAAGCGACGGCCGGCAAAGTCGTATTCGCAGGAATTTGAAGGATTTGTAGTATGTTTGGTTTGCCGGCACGGTGGAAGTGAAAAGAAGCTCCGATATGTGGATTGGTAGATGTTAGACTAGGGTTTAAAGAGGTGCGTATTTGGGGTTTAAACAGGTTTAACTCAGGTTAAAAAAAAATTTAAATAAAAAAGATTTAACTTCTTTATAAGTTTATTTATTAAAAAAAGATAAATCTCAAGCTAAGAAAAAAAAGTCTTTTAAACTTAAAAGACCCATCTATTTAAAAAAATAAGAATAACTTTTTTATTATTATTCTGTTATGTTTTTTACTTTAAATTAAAACACATAAATAAAAATAAATTATTTTAGAAAATTTACGAAACTTATGATAAATAAATAATCTCAAGTTATCTATTCATAAGTTATCTTAAATAAATAATCTCACAAAATTTATGATAATTGATAAATTAAAATAAGTCAATATAAACAAACATTTAGTTTGGTCTACTAAACAAATATTTTTTAATTTGTTAGTCTATTTATAATAAAAGGCTAACTAAATTTTAAAAAATGCGGAGCTAAAAGTAAATCTATGATATACTATATGACAGACTTAGGTTTCGGTGTGTAGGTTTCAGTTTGTTTAACCTACCAAATTTGTTTAGCAAAACATATCTCAGTCTCGTCTATTTCCACTCATATGCGTTTGATATAGATTTTATTTCCTTCTTAAGATTTTAAAAACTATTTTGTTAAAAAAATAATTATTCTTAATTTTAAAATGAAAATCTCCTAATAATCTTCCAAACAAAATTTAAAATATAGAACTTAAGTGTAGGAGTTTCATTTTTTTTTAAACAAAATTATTTTTCGACAATAATGAACAAAGAAATTGTATTATTCAATTCATGTTTTTTAAAAAGTTTAAAATAACAAAGGAATTGTATTATTCATATCCTTTAAAAAGTTTAATTCCTTTTATGTAAAAAAATAATAATAATTTTTTTGATGAATTTTCAAATTATCCTGCTCCTAAGATGTTTTATTTGAGTAGTTCTTGAATGGATCCACATAAAAGCCTCGTATGAATGTAAAAGGTAAATGAAGTAGAGAGTGATTTGGATATATGAAGTTGAAAAAGTCATTGATGATGTAAATAGCACAGCTTGAATAAAACAAAGGCAATAGTGGTTTGGATCTTAACCATTTCTAATACCATACTAGAAATGAAAATATATTGTTTTTTGCATAATTGCTTTTCAACATAGAAATGAAACTTGCATATGCTTTTCTTAAATAGCTGTTTTCTCTATATGTTTATGCCTTTCTTCTTTCTTTCCCTTTGCTCATGTAATAACTTTTCTTATAAAACATTACAACTTTTAAAATTTTGCATCCACAATTTCAAAAGAAAAACTACTTTAAACTTTAAAAAAATAAAATAAAATACAAAAAGCTATTTTAGAAAGAAAAAGAAAATCATTCTTATAACTAATTTAAGATATTTTGTGACAGTTATCTTATCCTCCCAAAACACTCTGCAATGTTTTGTTCATCATGCAACCTTTCTATAACCAAACTCATTGTTGTTACTACTGCCACCCTTCCCCAAAACTCTGATTCTTCTTCTTCTTCATCTTCACCTCAACAAACCAATCTTCCCCAAAGTAAAAAACCTTCACTAGGCCCTACAAACTCCACTACTTCTTCACCACCAAACAAGCTTCGCCAGCGAGCTCCACGGCCTTCAATTATGCAAATTGAACGTGCCCTCGGCGCCGGAAGCTTCAGAGACGGCGAGCCTGACCTCAAGTACATACATGCTGCTTTCTCTTTATTATTTCTTTCTCACAATTGCTTAGTTAGCTCTACAAGTCTATCAGAATTTTGATGATTTTCTAACCAGTTTTGTTGGAAGTGCTCCAATTTTATGTGTTTTATTTGTTAAAGAAATGAGAAAGATTTAGATATGAAGAAGACTACAATGGATTTGTTCTTGGGGCAAGCATTTGAAGGGATGGTGCAGAAAAAGCTGAGGGAAACCGGAGAGTGGCTTCAGGAAAATGCAGAAACCAGATTTCGCTCCACTAAGACTAGTAAGTAAACAATTGGCAACGAGTTTTTTTTTTCCGTTTTTTTTTTTTTTGGTCTCTTTTAACAAGGATTGTAGCATGTGTTTTGCTTTGTAATTTGAGAAGAATTGCACTGGTATAAGAGATGAGTGAGAAAAACACAAGTTGTGTTAAAATAGTATGAATGAGCCACCACCCAATGCAGGGCCTTTAGCAGACCTACTGCTTCTCGCTCGGCAATAGGGAGTAGGTTTTATAGGTGGTTGCACTGGTTAATGTTATGTTGAATTATCAAGTGTGAGTAAGAAATCTCACATTGAATGGAAATGTGAGTGTTGAGCATCATATAAACAATATGAGATTGTCGTAAAGTTTTGGATAAAGGTGTCGTGTTTCAAATCACTTCCGTGGTCCAGGGAAGCTAAAGTGGCAAAACAAGCCACCCGGTAGGATTGTACCCGGTTCTGCAGCAGGGAAACCTATTCCAAAGTTGCACTTTCTCCCAGCAGTCTTTACTATGATTACCGGTGAAGAATAAATGGCAAAGATTTTCTACTTCTATGACATAGCAAACACGTGGCTCGACAATCAACACCCTTTATTTGGAGTTGGGAGACAGTTTTGACATGCCTTCCAAAGGAAAAGTTTGGCTCAGTAGTGGACTCTTTGAGGGATTTGGTTTCCATGACAGCATCCAATCTCCTGGTTCTCTAAGGGAGGCTCCTGTCAATAATATGATTCATGGAAAATGAATTAGAAGTTTTGACACTACAATCTGCATGTTTTCAGCAGTGTTGACAGAGTTGAAAAGTGTCTGCGTCATGAGATTATTCCACTCCTTCTCACGAGGCAGCCACAATATCTCTGTTGGGAGACGTTAGGATCCTGATACTGTCTCTGCAAACTTTGTCCATCATGCAACCAGAGGACATCCTCCATTTATACGAAAGATTGCGACTGATTATTACCTAGTCTTCAATATCCTTGACACCATAGCATTTGAGTGCATGATGAACTTCCAGGCTTGTTTGCCAAACATTACTATGTTGAAAGCACAAAGATTTTGAAAAGGCAAACCTTCGCTCTGTTTTGGCATAGATAGTTTATCTCAAGAGAACCATTGTATCCCTTTCATTTTCATATATGTTATCTCTACTATTAGATCCATACCAGTAGGAAACCCTCAAGATAACTTAGAGGGTATTGAATATATTATTTCATATACCATAGTTTTTGAATTGGAGCGTATCTTAGTTACTCAACATTGTAATGTTCTAACTCATTTTATCATTTTTCAAATAATGTTGAATGTTAAATAGTCCTTCCTTTCTTATTTATTCAGTGATTTAAACTGTTGCAGGAAAAGGAATTCTGGTGTTTGCGTTTCAATGGATGATGCCAATTTGGGTTTTATCATTTCTAATAGCATCTGGAGCCATCAAGTTACCATTTAGCATCCCTTTTCTTGATGACCTCCTCATGTGAACATTGGCCAGTTGCTTTTGTAGATTGAATATTAATTACTCAAAAGTTCAAAGGAACACTGCATACAATTGTATTTAATAGTTTAAATTTTGGAAGTTCAGTCTTTTGGGAGATTGTACAGTCACTTCACTTATTTGATTGAAGTTGTATTAATTAAATGTCAAATATTATAAAATATTTATTGAAGTAGCTCACAAGTAATTCATACTCAACACAACTAATGTGTTGGAGAATGAAATGAAGACAACCCAAATGCCGCAATTAGACGGCTAGGGACAGACCGCAGTGAAGACAAGATTTCCAACAATCATAAACCAATGTATATCATAACCACATGTATAGGTTGCTCTCAATTAGTTTAAATCTAAGATACAAAACCAAGAATACATTAGTAGAATCTAAATACATTTAAGTTTTAACATATAGGGACTAATATTTTCCTCTAAACACATAATAAAGCACAGCATAAGAATTGTTTAAAGATTTCTGCTCTTGGAATCGTCATATCTGCAAATTCCTGAGCAAATGAAGTGCCCTTTGCCACTGCGGTTTTTCTGAAAGAACAATCCTTCTCAAGAAAGGGACTGCTCCAGCAGCTACAAGTGCTGCATGGTTCTCAATGTCCATACTCAGATTATACAGTATTGTTAAGCTTGCTTCAACACCTATTTCACTTCCTTCTTCAATCAGCTTCACCAACGGATTCAGCGCCCCTAGAGAAACAATAGCTCCTGAGGAATCTACCACCCCTTCAGATACTATTCTATTTAGTTCGACAACAGCATTTTCCTGAGCTTCTAAAGAGGATGAAGTTTTGATCTGTTCTACAAGTCTTGGAATCGTCTCATAAAGTGTAACTTCAACATTGATTGGATTAGAACTCGTGTCGTAACCAGAGAGAGAACTTAGTTTAACTAGGCAAGCAGCTACCCAATCTTTGCTGCGGAGAGGAATATTGGACTTGAGAATTTTGCGGAGCGTGTCAATGAAACTGGAGAAATTTATTTTGTCACGAAACTGCTGAGAGTCAAGCAGTCTTGTCAGTAACCGGGAAGCTGCAGATATTGCAAGACCAGCTTCTTCAAGTTTAATGGCATTTGCCGCTGAAAACTGATCTTCCGCATCAGATTCTGTGTCTGCTGCATAGGCTCAACAAATTATGAGTCACATTTTTTATTTAAAGAAAAAAATGAAGGATATATATATATATCCTAAAGCAAAAATGTAAATAAGCCCCACATTAAAGAGCAGAAACTTTTTACCCGAAATTTTCAAGAAATTTTGCTGAAAAGTAGAACTGAGGCCATTTTCAATATCCACCGATATAATTGGAGCCAGTGTTGGGTCAGTCAATGCCACAAACTCTAGAAGAGATGCAGCCTTTTCTTGTAAACTGGGTGAAGAGGACTTTAAAATCTCAACAAGGTGTGCAGTGAAAATCGAGTCCAGTATATTGTTCCTGAATGATTTATTAAATAAAATACAAGCCAATGTTAACTAAGCTTTGCAGAGCAAACATATCACACATTGCTCATTCAAATAGAATGTACTTCACAATCTTGAAACTCTATATAGATCCTAAACACTTTTAGAAACTCTGATTCATATCCGGGTAGCTAACCTAGGATTTGTTTTCGATACGGCTTGCTCAGAGTCGGTGCTACTTAATCCACCATCATTTTTGGCTCCACCAAATTCCTTCTCAGAGCCATTAACTGATCCATCATAAAACTGAAAAGAATCAATGTACTTGACAATCAATCAGAAAAATTACAGTTCTAAATAAGTGCATAATATGTGATACTAACCTTCAATTGCATCTCTTTATTGGGGTCTAATACCTGAGCAATTACGTTCAAAGACTGTAGAAGCACATCATACCATAATCAAAACCTTATTTAGTTTTCTACTTTATAATTAAAATATTGCTCGAGTTAATTAACATATAAGAAATACTATTACCTTTTCCACAATAGCTCCGCCTATGTCTGAGCATTTTAAAATACTAACTAAAGGACCCAAACCGCCCCGGGCTTCAATAAAGCGGCAAACAATGTTGCTGCATCAAGAAACCATAAAACATGATTACAATTTACAAAATATGTTTGCACAGTCTAAAATTATTTAATCAATTCATATACAACAACTTTATCATTGTTTTAATACAAATTCATTGATGCAATTATACAGCTACAAACTAAATTTTTGAACATTACCTAGCGGACAGCGCTTCCAAAGCTTGAGTCGCTGCCAGCTGGATTGCATCATCATTGGAACTCAAAAGCCGTAGTAATTGATTTACTGCACCAGCCTCCTTGAATGCAATGCGCATATGTTCATTGATACAAGCACTGGCAATTGACTTTGCAGCTCTGAGTATTGCTGACTTATCTTCTAGTTCTAGTATCAGTACTAAACGAGCAACACCATCAATCCAACGTAAAATTGTAAAACGCGGCTGATCATCCGAACATTCAGAATGAGATGCCGTTTCTCCCATTTCTATGGCACCCATGCGAACAAGGAAATGCTGTTGTGACTGTCCAATCACTGCATTGACTTTTGCTTCATCTATGTTAGCATTATTATCAACATTTAATCCGACAAGTATGTCTGCTGCACCATATCTAGAAGGTTTTGTGTATGTCTTTTCAATTTCTGTACCATCTGGAAATGTGGGCGATTCATATAAACGTGGGGTGTATGACTTATAGGCTGCGGCACCTATTAATGGCACAGGAACTAAACCTTCCTCGATGACAAGAATCCTGTAGTAGTCGTCCTTCACAAGTTCCAGCAATGCAGTCCTTACTTCTTTTTTAATCACTTTAGATCCTTTAGAGTCAGATGTTAAGAGTTTCGCCTGAATTTTGGAATGTCGTAAGCATCAAGTGAAAGGACCTTTGGTTAGAATATTGGAATTTAAAATATCGGTAAATTTAATATATAAAAACAGAAATGATTGTGTATCATGCATAATTCATCTTAACAATGACATACGCTGATATATCAGCAAATAAAACTAGTAACACCATGTAAACAATTTAGAGAAACCATTGTCCAATGTCTCACCAATTTTGGAATAACACCTGCTTCAACCATGACATCCTGGTTAACACGACTCAATGCTAAATTTGCCAAAACACTCACAGCAGCTTCCTTCACCTTTATATCCTCATCACCAAGGTACTTAATAGCTAACAAAAGAATATCACTCTTCAGAAGTTTAACGCGGAGCTTTTCGTCAACAGATAAGTTCCACAGCGTATTCAAACTTTGTGCCTTTACCTGCGAAAAAAGAGTTTTAGACATTCTCATGTTTCCACACACATAAAACATGCGGTCACCAAAGTATTACATCTACTAAACCCTATACCTCAGGACCCAAGGAAGATTGTGTTAGCAATCCATTTATCTCTTCTATAGCCCCACTATCTGCTACCGAATTCCTATATACGTCGATTGAAGATATCGATCGCAGAAGGCCCGCAGCAGCCTCAGATGACGAACTTGACTCCGATCTAAGGAGATTCACAACAAGATTAATACAGCCAGGAAATTGCATTATATTGTCAATACACTTCTTTCCACCAAGTGAGTATTGCCAAAGAGTAATTATAGCCTGTTCTCTATCAAGAGAATCATGATCTAGGCCTAGCATATCAACAAACAAGGCTACATCAGACGATGATTCACTTTCTACTTCATCAATTTCCTGAAAGCAAAATTCAAGCATTCAATAGTTGTCTAATTCATAATTTCATATACATAATAACCACAGAGAAACCAACAAAAAAGCTAATGAAGGGTTGAATGTTACTCACCGGAGAAGTGGGACCAACGGCGGGGTTAGAAGCACAGTTGTTATTGGTGCTACGATTGAACCTGGCAAGTAGAGGGGGTTTTGTGTGTGGTTTGGAAGAGGAAAAAGATTGTGGGAATGTGACTCTGGTTGATGTGATTGAGGGCACGAAATGGGAAGGGTTGAGGTTAGAGGTGGGTGTTAGGATTGGGATTGTGGATGCTAACATGGTCTTCTTTTGGGGATACCGGAAACTGAAAGGGTGGTTTTGTTTCACTGAACTGTTTGAGTTCGAGATTCTTCTTCAGGTACTGAGGAACAAGATAGGCTTTTTCTCTTTTCGTTTCTGCTATAGTAGTAGTTTAAAATTGATTTTTTTGTAGATGGTATTTTAAGTTTTATTTTTCTTCACAATATATTTAGTTATTTACACTGTTTGTCTTTTAATAACTAATTTTATATATATATATATAAATCAAATGTAACATTTTGTTTTTAAATATCTTCTAGCACTTCCAAAGAGATTATCGAAATAGTATAATTTATTTGTTTTAAATATTTTTGTTTTTATATTGAGTTGATAGAAATATGAATTTTAGAGAACATGAGAATAATTTTTATGCTATTTCTTTATTTATTTTTTTAGTAAAGCTAAGGCAAGTTGATACCAGACATCATAATTTAATGGAGGAAGAAGATTAAAAGGCTCGAAGTATTAATAGGCTGAAAGGAGTGGAAAATGGTAAGAAAAAACAAAGTTAATTGACGGAATCAGGTAAATTCGATCATACAACAGGAAATATGAGTACAACACGATCATGCAACAGAAAATGTGAGTACAACACACATCTCATACAAGGAGATGGTCATGGGTGAGAAAAATATGGAAAGAATGGAGACAAACAAGAATGCAACTAACATGGAGGATGAAATTTGTGGTGTATTTGGAGAACTGAAAATTGAAGAGCACAAACTTGGAGAGTACAAGTGTCCTAAAATCATACTTTTTGAGAAATAAGAGTAGACAATCGTTGTGTGACGGAATTGAGTGCTAGGCAACATTGATTTGGGACAGAAGTATTATCTTGTGACTTTTACTAACGAGGAGGACCAATATCCTACGCATATGGGTGGTCATTGGCTCAATTACGACCACTATCTATCAACATGGGAATGAGTTCATAACTTTTGTCTATCA